ATTTATAAATGAGAAAGGAAGCCATGAAAAAACGAAAACTACCTCTGTTACTCTCCCTCCGCCAGGTCCTCACCATCACCTCTTGCTCCTCCTCCTGCTTTGTTTCCTGAGGCCTTCAACACCAGCTGCCTTCCTTCTCTGGAAGCTGCAGGCCCTGCCCAGGCTCAGGCTGGGCCTAGCTGCAGCTCCCAAAGAGCCATCCCGCTGGCTGCCGCCACCGTTGTCCAAACACAGCTCCAGCTGCCAGGGAACCCAGCCGATCCTTCCCCCACCACCCGTCTTCCCTGCCCTGGCCCTCGGAAGTGGGGGTGAAGGGCCCAGGGGCCACGGGAGGGCCTCCCAGGACAGGCCACCTGAAAGAAAGGCCGTGCGCCCTGGCAAGTGGGATCAGAGGGCAGAGGAGGCAGGGCTCAGCCTCGGGAGAGGCCACCACAGGCCACTGACCCACCTCCGCTGCAGAGATGACAGGCCCACGGGCTGCTGCTCTAATTAGAAACTGGCTGGGCAAGTCCAAGTGTGGGAAGAGAACCTGCTCGTGGCAGAAGGCAGCCTGGGCCCAGCCCCTTAAAGGGCCCAGAGGCAGTGGGGTGGCTCAGAGGACGGCAGGACAGCCTCCCGCCACCTTCCCCCTCGCCCAGCCAGCACCCAGGGTCTGAAGGGAGGTCAGGGCCGCCCGATGCCAATGCCAGGACCGGAAGGGGCTCCCCATCGGATGGAACAACGACTCCAGCAACTTCTATGAACTAGGGCCTGTAGGGCTGGCACCACCCCGGCAAGGCAGGCGTTGGGGATAGCCACTGGAAAGAAGGGGTCACTGAAGCCAGAGGAGCAAAGGGACCCGGCCAAGGTCACACAGGACAACAAGCTGGGACCAGGCCAGAGCTGGGAGCCTTGAGGCTTGGGAAGGCCTGAGGCGGGGGAGCAGTTCCCAGTTACGGGGCACTTCTTCTCTGCCTGCCGGACCACACTCTCCCAGGGGAGATGCCAGCTCTCGCTGATCCCAAGGGATGGAGAAATTGGGAGACTGAAATGATTGGGGACAACTACCGAGAACTGGGACGGGGATTCCAATGCTCACATTCCGGACTCATCTCTTAGACTGGTCACAGGTTTGGAAAAAAGACAAGACCAAAAAATACACTCCAAGACAGACAGTCCTTGGAAAAGCAGAGTGAGGCAAAGTGCTACCGCCTAAGGAGCCTCTGGAATGGTTAAGTCGGGAGGGCCTGGGTGCGGCAACTCTCACCTGCCCTAATTCAACCTAAACTCAACCTATGACACGTGGCTGAGCAAACTGGGCCTCAGTCTCCCCATCTATGAAACACTTCACAGGGCTACCGTCAGGCAGCACGTCTCAGGGGAGGACCAACAAAGAGAGTGCTCAAAGGAGATACTTGGTTTGGGGTGGGAATGGGGTCATGTCCCCCAGGTGACAAGCTGTGTGCCAGACAGCTGGGAAAGGCGGCCCACCCAAGCCTCCAAGCCTCTCTCTTGTTGCAACCCACATGGCTCTCAACCTTCAATCACACGTCCCTCCTCTCTGCTCAGCACACGCAGCTCCCTCTGCCTCTTCTCTAGCTCTCTGACCAGCCACCTCCTCCAGGAAGTCCCCTCCCCCTGCGATGTCGCTGGGGGCCTGTGTCCCACAGCCACCCCTCAGCCAGCACCTGGGCACTCAGTGATGCGATTCACCCGTTTAGTCATCTGCATGCCCTTGAGAGGCTTGTTCCCCAGGACCCAGCGCAAGGCCAGGCCCAGAGCTCAGTATTCTTGCTGAATTAGTGAAGGCTAAAGTCCAGAGAGGGAGGATGAAGGTCCCCGGGTGGCGCACATAATTTGCACTCAGCCGGTAACCAAAAGGTTGGCGGTTTGAACCCACCCAGCGGCACCGTGGAAGAAACAGGCCTGGCGATCTGCTTCTGCAAAGATTATAGCCAAGAAAACCCCATAGGGCAGTTTCTATTCTGTAACACGTAGGATCTCGTATGTCACAAATCATCAACAAAAACAAAATCAACATCAGAGGGGGAAGGTGATCTGCTGAGGTCACTTGACCAGAGAGACTGAAAAAAAAATTCTGAGGGGTGGAGTGGGAGGGGGAGCCTCCAATGGGAAGAAACAGTATATGGACCAACAGAGCCTAACTACCGAAAAAATGAAGCTAAATCCAAACGCATGACAATGCACCGAGCCACACAGCCGCTCATGGGCAGTAACAGAGTAGATAAGCCCAAACTACACCCAAACAATAAATTAGAGCTTCTCCACCTCGGCAGCATTAACATTTTGGGCTGTGTAATCCTTTGTCCCCCACCACCTTTCTATCAGTTTGTCGTACTGCGGTGGCCTGCATGTTGCTATGACGCTGGAAGTTATGCCACTGGTATTTCAAATACCAACAGTGTCACCCATGTTTTCAGCGGAACGTCCAGACTAAGACAGACTAGGAAGAAAAGCCTGGTGATCTACCTCTGAAAATTAGCCAATGAAAGCCCTATGGATCACAACAGAATATTGTCCGATATGAAACTAGAAGATGACCCCCCGGTTGGAAGGTGCTCAAAATACACAGTAGCCACAACTATGGACTCAAACACACCAAGATCACGAAGATGGCGCAGGGCTGGGCAACATTTTGTTCTTTTGTACATGGGGTCGCCATGAGTCGGAGTCGACTCAAGAGCAACTAACAACAAAAATCCTTTGTCACAGGGGGCTGTCCTGTGCATTGTAGAATGTTCAGCAACATCCCTGACCTCGACCCAGTAGGGGCCAGTAGCACCCTCTCCAGATGTGGCCAAGTTTACCCTGGGGCACAATCACCCTCATTGAGAAATGCTGCAATAGATGGTCTCAAGGCGAATATAACACTCACAGGAGCTACTGATCCTGGAACAGCTTCTTCACTTTGCATTCTGCTATGTGCTTTTGCATACATCAGACCTCCCAGAACAACCCCATGAAGAGGGCACTTTGTCCCCACTCTACAGACGAGGAAGAGGAGGCAAAGAGTTTCTGATCAGCATGCCCACAGTCACCCCATTAGCAAGTGGGAGAGCCAAGACTCGAACCCAGGTCTCTCCAACAAAGCATCTTGCTCTAAACTATTAGCCTTCACTGCCTCCCAAATGTGCTGTAAGACCCCAGAAATCAAGTCACATGGTATCATACAATTTACACAAAATGATATCGCCGTACAAAAAACCATTAAAAAAAAAAAACAGAGAGAGAATAACATTTTAAATAGAGCAAGGAAAGCCAACAGCCATTCCACGTGATAAGTGCGTGTCCCAGGGTGTGGTGACCATTTCTACTCATGTACAATACACATTAGTGCACAGGATATGTACACAAACCACACACGCTGTATTCTCCAGACAATTCTGAGTCACTGCCGTTGTCACCTTGCGGGTGCTGGGGTAGAACCTCTCCCTCAAGTTGGCTGTGACCCTGCTGCAGTTTCTCTAAGCTCTGAACCAAGTCTCACATCTGACAACACATCTTTCTTTCCAGAAACATCTTGCCTTCCAGGCTGGTGTAAATGGTAATGTCTGTGTTCTCAGAACAGGGTTGTGTGTATGTGGTTCAGGAAAGAGCAGGAAGACCCTCACCAGAACACCACCTCCAAGGTAATGAGCTCCAGCTCCAGGTGTTCTGCCCCACTACCCCCAAAACATATGCTCTCTCACACCCTCCAGTGCCCCCACCTTCACATATCTGCAAGGGTTGTTCCTTCCACCAGGAATGCCCTTCTTCCCACTCTCCATCTGTCAGCTCCCACTCAGCCTTCCTTCCTCGACAGAAAAGCCACTGGCTTGGCCAGTCCTGCCAGTCCCTGTCCCTCCCTGGGCTCCCACGGCAGTGCCCTGAGTTACCTCTATCACCACACACAGTAATTGTGACTGTCCAACTCTGCCTTTGTCTCCCCAGGGACCCATCCCTCCTCCAGGGCAGGGTCCCCTCTCTGGGCCCGGCACCAGCACCCCACCTTGCCCTCAGAAGCAGGCCTCCTCTCAGAAACAGGGCCCACTCCAGAGATCCCGCCTCACAACCAGAAGCCAGGGACCACCAGGGCTGGGGGAGCAACAGCCAGGGTAAAAGGAAAGCGCCACTACTTTATTTCCTGAGCCCGAGGGTCAGAATGACAGGGACTGGTGAATCCAGGAAGGCAATAAATAGGGCAAGGGCATTAGGCAAAGGGCTGGGGGCAAGGGGCAAGAGTCTCAGTAGTAAGAGATAAGGGTGTATGAGGGGGCAGACTATGGGAGGGGAGGTAGGCCCGAGGGACAAGAGACTGGGGGAGGGGAGGGTGAGTCCCACGGAGAAGGAGGTGTTGTGGTGGGAGTGGGTGGGCGGGAGAAGAGACTGGGGAGAGTGGGCAGGAGGAGCAAGAGACTAGGGCAGGGGGAATGAGTCCGAGAAAGAAAGAGATGGGGTGAGAAGGGAAGAGACTAAGAGACCGAGGGGGAGCCAAAGGGGAATGGGGGTGGGCTGGGGATGCGACAGAAGAAGAGACTGGGAGGTGAATCCAAGGGGGGAAGGAAGTGATGCGGCGGCGATGAACCAGAGAGGGAAGAGACTGAGAGACTAGCAGACCGAGGGGGAAGAAAGAGGTGAGCTGGGGAGAGGAGGGAGAAAGAAAAGCTTGGTGGGGGCGGGGGTGAGTCTGAGGGGAGGAAGGAGGTAGTCAGGCGCGGAGTGGGTGGGAAAGAGAAAAGGAGGAGGCGAATGAATCCGAAGAAGAGTAAAAAGATGACGGTGTGGCGGTGAACCAGAGGAGAAGAGACTTAACAGACTGGGGGGGCAGAGTGGGAAGGGGAAGTGGGCTGGGAATAGGCCGGAGAAAAGAGATGGAGACTTTGGGCGGGGGGGCATTGAGGGGAAAGTCTGGGGAACCCCGAGGGGTACTTCGGTGGGGCTCTAGGGGGCATACAGCTGGGGTAGCTTAGACTCGGGAGGTCTGGCCTTCGGGAAAGGGACCCGGAATCCGCCCCACTCACCTGCGCGGGGGGGCGGCGGCTCCTCGCACTCGGGGCTCATCGGGGCGCCCCCCCCGCCCCGCCGCCGGCGGCTCCGGCCCCTGCTCAGGGGCCCGGTAAGTGGGGGCGGGGGACGACGCAGGGGTCTCGCGGGGCGCTCGGTGCGCAGGCGCTTCCGCCGGGATTCCCGCGGCCGCGCACGCGCCCTCGGATCAATGGGGGGCCTCGCACGCCGAGCTCGGCTGAGGTCGGGGGTGAGCGCGGGATTCGTGGGGTTGGGGGGTCACGGAACCCGCGCAGGCACCTCCGGAGTTCGACGACGGGGGCCGCGGGCGGAGAGCTGGGCCGCGAGGCCTGAGCGAGGGAACGGGACGTCGCCCCGGTTTCCTCAGCCTCGCACCCCGCGGAAATGCAGAAGGCAGGCAGGGAAGATGTCCTCTTCCGCGGTCCGAACACGCCGCGGTTTCGAGCGGCCACCGACGGAAGCCGAAGCCCACTTCCTCAACCCTCCTTTCCCCAAACCGGCGGGGTCCCGGGCGTCTGCAGTCCTCCTCAGGCTTCCGACACCCGGCTCCCTCCGCCACTATCCCACAATCCCCCGAGGGCCGAGAACGCTAGAGTCCCCGCCCTCCCGCGGCCTCTCGGTGCGCAGGTGCGCAGCGGCCGCGCCCCGCTGTGCGCATGCGTGCCAGGCCCGGGCGTTCCCCGCCCCGCCCACCCGGAATGCTGTCGCTACCGCAGCGGGGATTGCGCCCGTTTGTGCCGACGGTTTCTCCCCGATCAACCCAGAGGCCTAGTGCGCAGGCGCCACTGCACCAAAACTAAATCAAATCTACCGCCATTCAGTCGATTCCAACTCATAACGACCCTATAGAACAGAGTAGAACTGCCCCATAGGGTTTCCAAAGCTGTAACCTTTATGGAAGCCGACTGCCACATCTTTCTCTCGCCAAGCGGCTGGTGGGTTCCAACCGCCAACGTTTCTGTTAGAGGCCAGCGCTTAACCACTATGCCACCAGGGCACACCCAGGAGCCAATTTCTCTACGACTCCATTCTAGTGTCCAATGCGAATCCTACTCCGGGTTTTCTCTTCTCGCTCGCTCAGTTTGGAAATCCTTTCGCTATCCTCGATCTCCTCCAACCATATTCCAGCTGTGGCTCTAGGGTCGCGCTGCTGGGAAATCCATCCCAGGCTTTCCGTCTTGGAAGCAGCCTGGCCTTTCTCTCCAACCAAAGAGAGGTGGTTTGACCCCACCCTTTTCTCTCTCTGTAGGGTCCCTATGAGTCTGAATCGACTGGAGGCAGCAGGTTTGGTTTTTTGTTTGTTTCTCTCTCTACACGTTCTCTGTGTCTGACTTCACTCATTCTCTGTTCCTACTTGCTGCACAAAGCCTTCTCTAACATTAATACGAAGGGTTTTTCTAGGCCTTGTCAGTATTCGTGTGTGTGTGTGTGTGTGTGTGTGTGTGTGTGTGCTCTAGGTGAAAGTTTACAGCTCAAGTTAGTTCCTCATAGAAAAATTTATACACACATTGTTATGCGACCCTAGTTACTAATGTAACAGCACACTCCTCTGTCCACCTCGGATTTCCCTTGTCCGTTCAACCAGCTTCTATCCCTTTCTGCCTTCTCCATCTTGCCTCTGGACAGGAGCTGCTCATTTAGTCTTGTATATCTGCTTGAACTAAGAAGCACACTCTTCACGAGTATCATTTTATGTCTTACAGTCCAATCAATCATTTGTCTGAAGAGTTTGCTTCAGGAATGGTTTTAGTTCTGGGTTAACAGAGAGTCTGGGGGCCATGTCTTCCGGGGTTCCTCCGGTCTCAGACCATTAAGTCTGTAGAACTTCTCAGTATTCTTTAAGACCCATCTGACTCAGCTTTAGTTTCCCCAACATTCTTGTTGTTAGGTGCCCTCAAGTAGATAACGACTTAGTGCGGCCCCCGTGAGACAGAGTAGTACTGCCCAATAGAGTTTTCTAGGCTGTAATTTATTTTTTTTTAATTGTACTTTAGATGAAGGTTTACAGAACAAGCCAGCTTCTCATTAAACAATTAGTACACATATTGTTTTGTGACATTGGTTGCCAACCCCACGACATGTCAACACTCTCCCTTTCTTGACCTTGGATTCCCTATTACCAGCTTTCCTGTCCCCTCCTGCTTTCTAGTCCTTGCCCCTGGGCTGGTGTGCCTATTTAGTCTCATTTTGTTTTATGGGCCTGTCTAATCTTTGGCTGGAGGGTGAACCTCAGGAGTGACTGACTTCATTACTGAGCTAACAGGGTGTCCGGGGGCCATACTCTAAGGGTTTCTCCAGTCTCTGTCAGACCGGTAAGTCTGGTCTTTTTGTGTGTGTGAGATAGAATTTTGTTCTACATTTTTCTCCAGCTCTGTCAGGGACCCTCTCTTGTGTTCCCTGTCACAGCAGTCAGTGGTGGTAGCCGGGCACGATCTAGTTGTACTGGATTCAGTCTGATGGAGGCTGTAGTACTCGTAGTCCATTAGTCATTTGGACTGATCTTTCCCTTATGTCTTTGGTTTTCTTCATTCCCCCTAGCTCCAGACAGGGTGAGACCAATGGAGTATCTTAGATAGCCGCTCACAAGCTTTTAAGACCCTTGACACTACTCACCAAAGTAGAATGTAGAACATTTTCTTTATATACTATGCTATGCCAGGTTAAGCTAGATGTCCCCCAAGACCATGGTCCCCAGCCCTCAGCCCAGTAATTTGGTCCCTCAGGGAGTTTGGATGTGTCTACGGAGCTTCCATGACCTTCCATGACCTTGCTTTGGACAAGTTGTGCTTCCCCAGTATTGTGTACTGTCTTACACTTCACCAGAGTTACTACTTATCTATTGTCTATTTAGTGTTTTTCCATCCCCACCCCTCCCCTCTCTCATAATCATCAAAGATTGTTTCTTCTTGTGTGTAAACCTTTTCATGAGTTTTTATAGTAGTGGTCTCATACAATATTTGTCCTTTTGTGATTGATTTATTTCACAGCATAATGCCCTCCAGATTCATCCATGTTGTGAGATACTTCACAGGTTCATCTTGTTCTTTATCGTTGTGTAATACTTCATTGTGTGTATGTACAATAGTTTGTTTATCCATTCATCTGTTGATGGTCTTGTAGGTTGTTTCCACCTTTTTGCTATTGTGAACAATGCTGCAATGAACATGGGTGTGCATATGTCTATTTGTGTGACGGCTCTTACTTCTCTAGGATATATTCCTAGGAGTGGGATTGCTGGATCATATGGTATTTCTATTTCTAGCTTTTTAAGGACGCTCCATAACGTTTCCCAAAATGGTTGTACCATTTTGCATTCCCACCAGCAGTGCATAAGAGTTCAATCTCCCCGAAGCCTCTCCAACTTTTGTTATTTTCTGGTTTTTTTTTTTTTTTGATTTGTGCCAGTAATGTCGGGGTGAGATGGTATCTCATTGTGGTTTTGATTTGCATTTCTCTAATGGCTAGTGATCACAAGCATTTCCTCACATGTGTGTTAGCCACTTGAATGTCTTCTTTGATGAAGTGTCTGTTCATTTCCTTTGCCCGTTTTTTAATTGAATTATTTGTCTTTTTGTTGTAGAGGTGTTGGATTTTCTTGTAGATTTTAGAAATTAGACCTTTTTCGGATTGGTCATAGCCAAATTTTTTTTTCCCAGTCTGTAGGTTCTCTTTTTACTCTTTTGGTGAAGTCTTTTGATGAGCATTGTTTAATTTTTAGAAGATCCCAGTTATCTAGCTTATCTTCTGGAGTATGTGTGTTTTTAATTGTCTTAGTCATCTAGTGCTGCTATAACAGAAATACCACAAGTGGATGGCTTTTAACAAAGACAAATTTATTCTCTCACTGTCTATTAGGCTACAAGTCCAAATTCAAGGCATCATTTCCAGGGGAAGGCTTTCTCTCTCTGTTGGCTCTGGAGAAAGGTCCTTGGCATCAGTCTTGCCTTGGTCTGGGAGCATCTCAGCGCAGGAACCTCAGGTCCAAAGGATGCGCTCTGATCCCAGCACTCCTTTCTTGGTGGTATGAGGTCCCCCATTCTCTGCTTGCTTCCCTTTCCTTTTATCTCTTGTAAGATAAAAGGTGGTGCAGCCACACCCCAGGGAAACTCCGTTTACATTGGATCAGGGGTGTGACCTTAGTAAGGGTGTTACAATCCCACCCTAATCCTTCTGTAACATAAAATTACAATCACAAAGTAGAGGACAACCACACAATTCTGGGAATTGTGGCCCAGCCAGATTGATACACACATTTTTGGGGAGACATAATTCAATCCATGACAGTAGTTATGGTTTTTATCCTGTTGATGCCATGTATTAGGGCCTCTAACGTTGATCCTATTTTTTTCTTCTATGATCTTTATAGCTTTTGGTTTTACATTTAGGCCTTTGATCCATTTTGAATTAGTTTTGGTGTATGGTGTGAAGTATGGGTCCTGTTTCATTTTTTTGCAGATGGACATCCAGTTTTGCCAGCACCATTTGTTAAAAAGACTGTCTTTTCCCCATTGGATGGGCTTTGGGCCGTTGTTGAAGATTAGGTGACTGTAGGTGGATGGATTTACATCTGGGTTCTCAATTCTGTTCCATTGGTCAATGTATCTGTCATTGTACCAGTACCAGGCTGTTTTGACTGCCATAGCTGTATAATAGGTTCTGAGATCAGGTAGTGCGAGTCCTCCTGCTTTATTCTTCTTCTTCCATAGTGCTTTACTTATTCAAGGCCTCTTCCCTTTCCATATAAAGTTAAAGATTAGCTTTTCCATCTCTTTAAAGAATGCTATTGGTATTTGAATCGTGATTGCATTGTATTTGTAGATTGCTTTGGATAGAATTGACATTTTCACAATATTGAGTCTACCTATCCATGAGCATGGTATATTTTTCCATTTATGTGGTTTTCTTTTGGTTTCTTGCAGTAGTGTTTTGTAGTTTTCTTTGTATAGGTCTTTTACATCCCTGGTTAGATTTATTCCCAAGTATCTTATTTTTTTAGGGGCTGTTATAAATGGCATTGCTTTCCTGATTTCCTTTTTGTAGTTCTCCTTATTGGTGTATGGGAATCCAACTGATTTTTATATGTTTCTCTTATATCCTGCTACTCTGCTAAATCCTTCTATTACTTCCAGTAGTTTTCTTGTGGAGTCTTTTGGGTTTTCTATGTATAGTATTATATCATCTGCAATTAGGGACAGTTTTACTTCTCCATTATCAATTTGGATGCCCTTTATTTCTTTTTCTTGTCTAGGCTATAATCTTTAGGGGAGCAGATCACCACGTCTTTCTCCCACAGAGCCACTAGGTGGGTTCAAATTGCCAAACTTTAGGTTAGAAGCTGAGTGCTTAACCATTGTACCACCAGGGCTCCTTTCCCCAACTTTAATAGAGGTTGAGTTGGAATCGAAGGCAATGGGTTTTAATAGAGGTTATTAGCCCCACACTGCCCATTTTACAGGCCCGCTGTAGGATCTGATGATTTGTGTAATGACCTATTTTATTTGTTTAATCTGCTTATTTACCTTTTTCATTTCAGGGAAATTTTATTGAATTATATACTTGAGTACAGTTTTCTGTTTTATTTGTTTGTTCTCTACTTCAAGGGTGCCAATCATGTATTTGCCTTTCATGTCCATTGTTGTCGTTAGCTGCCCTGGAGCTGGCCCCCAGTTCGTGGTGACCCCATGCACAATGAGATCAAACTGTTGTGATCCATAGGGCTTTCACTGATTGATTTTCAGACATACATTGCCAGGCCTTTCTTCCTAGTCTGTCTTAGTCTGGAAGCTCTGCTGAAACCTGTTCAGCATCATAGCAACACGTAGGCCTCCACTGACAGACAGGTGGTGGCTGCGCCTGAGTTGCTTTGGCCAAGGATCAATCTCAGGTCTCCTGCATGGAAGGCAAGAATTCTACTATTGAACCACCACTGCCCCCTCACATCCATGAACGAGCTTCTCTCTAATTGCTTTAATCTTTGTCTTTTCCCCTGCATTGGCTATGATTGATTACCACATGTCAGTAATTTGATTTTTCAGCCACATCTCTTCTGGTCCTAGCTATTTCTAGTGTGTTTGCTGCACATGATGTTGTTTGGTCCTTGTATCAGTTAGCTATTGCTGCATGTCAGCTGCAACCTCAGTGGCATGATCCTGTTCACACATGGGACTAATGGGCTACACGGGAAAGGCAGGAGCACAAGAGATGAAACCCAACTGTGGAAGCACATTTGAAGTCTTTGTTTGCCTCACATCTGTCACTGTCCACTTAGTCAAAGCAAATCACGTGGCCAAGCCCGAAGTCTAGAGGTGGGAGGGGAAAGTGTACTTCTCTCATGGAGGTGGAATAGGAGGAAGCAAATATTTGCTCACCCTAATTTTCCACATTCTGATTTGTTTCCTTAGGCTTGCCAACATTCCCTTCTCATTTTTTCTTTAATCACATTTTTGCAATCTCAATCCATGTTCTTATTGTTATACAGTTTGAAGCAATTGTGAGGCAATTCCTTCTGTTCCTTGAGTTATCTTTTCTTCTGTGTTGGGTTCTTTTTGTCTTTCCCCATGATTTTGCTTCCTTGTCTTCCCCTACAATATGATTTCATAGTTGCCCACTGTTGAACACATAGGCTCAGGAACTGAGGGATGGGGGTTGGCCATATTCAACCACCAAATGGAACCTGAGAAGCTGCGGAAGCCAATCTGCAAGAACCTGGGAAACTCCAGGGTCTTTAAAGACTGAAACCTGGGCTTCAATCCTGTCAGAATTCCCAGATAGATGATGCTGTTATTTATATTAGAATGAACTTGTTGCCGTCAGAGTTGATTCTGACTCATAGTGACCCTAAATGACAGAATAGAACTGCCCCATAGGGTTTCCAAGGCTGTAATCTTTATAGAAACAGACTGCCACATCTTTCTCCCACAGAGCAGCTGGTAAGTTTGAACCACCCGACCATTCGGTTAGCAGCCGAGCACTTAAACACTGCATCACCAGGGCTCCTTGTGTTAGAATGAAGGGGCTTTTAAAGTGTTTGGTGGGAACACTCATTCCCTACTGTTCATGTTTCTGTGTGAAGGAACTTTACAGCCCCTCTAGGGGTGAAGGAATGACATACCTGATTGGACAGGGACAGAGACTCAGTCCTCCAGCTTTCCTTCCTCTTGAAGCCAGCCTGGCCACAGCCTGCTCTGTGCCACCACAGAGGAGGAGGCTGGGTTTGCCCAATGTCATGGATTGAATTGTGTCCCCCCAAAATTTGTGTCAACTTGACTAGGCCATGATTCCCAGGATTGTGTGGTTGTCCTCCATTTTGTGATCTGATGGGATTATCCTATGTGTTGTAAATCCTAACCTCTATGATGTTAATGAGGCAGAATTAGAGTCAATTATGTTAATAAGGCATAATTAGAGTCAATTATGTTAATGAGGCAGAACTCAACCTACAGGATTAGGTTACATCTTGAGTAAATCTCTTCTGAGATATAAAAGAGAGAAGCAAGCAGAAAGGAGAGGGACCTCCTACCACCAAGAATGAAGGACCACGAGGGGAGCGCATCCTTTGGACCTGAGGTCCCTGCACTGAGAAGCTCCTAGATCAGGGGAAGATTGATGACAAGGACCTTCCCCCAGAGCCGACAGACATAAAGCCTTCTCCTGGAGCTGCCACCCTGAATTCAGACTTCTAGCCTCCTAGCCTGTGAAAGAATAAGTTTCTCTTTGTTAAAGCCATTCACTTGTAGTATTTCTGTTATAGCAGCACTAGGTTAACTGAGACACCCAGTGTTTCCTGAGACCAGATGGGTAAGTCTGCATAATGTCCAGATGAAGTAGCAGCAAAACCACTTGGCCAAGGTCTAAAGCCACTTTCTCTAATTGGCTCTGTGATAAAGGTGCAATTTGCTCTTCAAGTCTTAGATCCTGCAGCCACCTCTTGACTAATCCTGAATTTTGGGGAAAAAAACAGTTGCTGTTCGGTCAACTCCAACTTATGGAGACTCTGTGTACCAGAGTAGAACTGTGCTCCATAGGGTTTTTATTGTTTGATTTCTTGGAAGTAGGTCACCAGGCCTTTCTTCCCGGAGCCTCTGGGTGGACTCAAACCACCAACCTTTCAGTTAGCAGCCGAGCACATTAACCGTTTAAACCACCAAGGGACAAAGGATGAGTGGAAATAACTGAGCCATGTAAAATCCCAAGATGATGAGTAAGCCCCACATGAGAGAAATTCATCTGGCCATCAAATGGGGCTAGGCAACCAGGATATAAGGAAGGAGCACTGCTTTGGAGTTAGACTTCAGTTTGAATCCTGCCTCAACCACTTAACCAGCTGTGAACCTTGCCAAGGATTTACCTTAAAAACAGCGTCGGGGCTCTAGGTTGCCAGCAACAGAAACCTACTTTCACTAAATAGAATAGGAATTGACTAAAGGAGGTGAGGCAGCCCACTAACCCCCACTTCCCCCAATCTCTGAGAAGGCTGGAGAATCAGTTGGTGCTTTGCATCTGGAACAATGGCCACATCCATCCACAGGCCTGCCCCAGGGGCACCAGGCATGGACACTCCTGCCGGAACCCCTATACCACCCCAACCAAAACCAGATGCATCTGCTCCCGCCCTCACCAGAATGCATTCTGGGTACCGTAGCCTCCTCGGTCAAAAGCTCCTCAAGCCAGACCTGCATGGAGCGTTCTGATTGGTGGAGTTAAGGTCGTATGACTGTGCCCTACCACAAGGGATACTAGGAAAGAAAATGTCTATTTTAAGGAGGTGTGGACCTCTAATGGGAGTCTCTGGGTGGCGCAAACAGTTAATGCACTTGCTGTTAACCAAAAGATGGGTGGTTCAATCCACCCAGATGCACCCCAAAAGTAAGGTCTGGGGCTCTACTTCCAAAAAATCAGCCATTGAAAACCTTGTGGGGCACAATTCTACTCTGATACACATGGGGTTGCCGTGAGTTGGAATCAACTCGTCAGCAACTGGTTTTTTAATGAGGGGAACCCCTCAAATGTAAGAGAATTCAGAGATGCTGGGTGTATCTTAAACCCTAATCACTTTTGAGATATAAAAGAGCAGATTAGATACAGAAGCAAACAGACACGGGGAAGACAGATACTATCTGAAGTCAGTGGACACAGTAATCCGGAAGGTAAGGAGCTCCAAGGATTGCCTGCTACTAGGAGTTGAAAATGGCTCCCTGGGTGGGGCAGTTAAGTACTCAATTACTAGCCAAAAGAGAAACACTGGTGCACAGTGGTTACATGCTGGACTGCTAACTGAAAGGTCAGCCCTTGGAACCCACCAGCTACTCTGTAGGAGAAAGATGTGGCAGTCTGCTCCCATAAAGATGTACAGCCTGGGAAACCCTATGGGGCAATTCTAATTTGTCCTATAGGGTCACTATGAGTCAGAATCGAATGGCGAGCAACAGGTTTGGGTTTTTTTTTGTTTGGATGGCCATTAGGAGGGCAGATGTCCACTATGCTTCCTCTCACCGAGGTTGGGAAGATGAGACAATGGCTCCGTGGATCACAAAGTGTAACACTTTCATTCTGCCCAAGTCCCCGCCAGCTGCCTTCCTCTCAGGGGCTCTCCGAAGTCCCTCAAGATCATCCCCTCAACTCCCGCCACCCTCGCCCCACACACCCTCCAGAAAAGGCAATAAAGGTGGCAGTGAAGGAGCAAGAGAAACACCTTTATTGGAAGAGTAGTGTGGGCCATTGCCTTTCTCAGCACCCCCTCCAGGGAGCTGAGCAAAGATGGGCTGGCACCCTGGACCCAGGCCCCAGCAAAGCCCTGCCCTCCCTCAGGAGAGGGATCTGTGGGTGGGGAGGGAGGCTGGCGGCCCAGGGTTCCCACGGAGAAGGGGGCAAGGAGCCACCCTAGCTTCACCGGTCCATGCTGTCATCCGTGGGGGTGGAGAAACAGGTCTGTAGCAGCTTTTCACAGAACTCCAGCTCCTCCTGGATGGGGGGGCAAGGAAAGGAGCCCTGAGCAGAGGCCAGACCCTGCACCCGACAGCTCCACCCGCTCTCCTCCACCCATACCTGGTACTCCTCATGCTGCTGCTGCAGCAGCTGGCAGCGGTGGCGTAACAGCTCCTCCAGGCCAAGCTGCGGTTCCCGGCACTCCCGCACGCCCTGGGGGAAGTCCGTCACCAGGCTGGGGGGACAAGGGGAAGCCCTCAGCCCTCCTCTGCACAGGCCCTGAAGCCAGACAGACCTGGCTGGGCTCTCACTGCCTGCTCCCTGCTACCTTGGGAGCCTCAGCAAGCCACTTCCCCATGCTGGGCCTCAGTTTCCCCTCCTGCAAACCAAACCAAAACTAGTTGCTGTCAACTAGACTCTGACTCGTGGTGGCCCTATGTGTGTCAGAGTAGAACTGTGCTCCTTAGGGTTTTCAGTGACTGATTTTTCTAAAGTAGATCACCAGGCCTTTCTTCCAAGGCACCTCTGGGTGGACTTGAACTGCCAGCCTTTCAGTAAGCAGCTGAGCACTTAACTGTTCACAACACCTGGGGACTCTGGCCCAAATCCCCCCCCAAAATCCAAACCAGTTATCATTAAGTTGACTCCAACTCATGGCAACCTCATGTGTGTCAGAGAAGAACTGTGCTCCACAGGGTTTTCAATGGCGGTGACCTTTCAGAAGCAGATTGCCAGGTCTTTCTTCTGAGGTGCCTCTGGGTGGACTTGACCCTCCAACCTTTGGGTCAGCAGCTGAGCATGTTAACTGTTTGCACTATCCAGGGACCCACCTGACCTACAAAAGGAACCTCAAAATCCCCTCAGCCCAGGGATTATGGTGAGACGCACACAAAGCAGAGCACAGTGACAGCTGTAAACCCCTCTCGGCTGCTTCATACTGTTGTTCATTTAGAGACACTAAGGCACTTGTAAGCCCTAGTGATGCAGTGGTTAACTGCTCAGCTGCTAACCGAAAGGTTGGCAGTTTGAACCCACCAGCCGCTCCAGGAGAAAGATGTGGCAGTCTGCTTCCTTGGAGATTTACAGCCTTAGAAAGCTATGGGGCAGTTCTACTCTGTCCTATAGGATCGCTGTAAGTTGGAATCAACAGCAATGGGGTAAGGCACTCACAGCGTACGTGTGGGGCAGGGGGTAAGAGACAGCCTCTCACCTGCTCCCCCGCCCCCTAGGCTGCTGTTATCAGCCCCTTGCTGTTGTTAGTTGTCGGTGAGTCAGTTCCAACTCATGGCGACCCCATGTGTGCAGAGTAGAACTGTCCTCCATAAGGTTTTCAAGGCTGGGACCTTTTGGAAGTAGACTGCCAGGCCTTTCTTCTGAGGCACCTCTGGGTGGGTTTGAACTGCCAACTTTTCGGTTAGTAGTTCAGCGCTTAACTGTTTGAGCCACTCCCCTACAGATGAGTAAACGGAGGCTCATAAGGGGATGGTACCATGATTCCAGGACCCTAAGCCCCTCACCTTCCCTCGGGAAGGTCCCAGATTCCTCCTGAGCTGCTCCCACCTCAGGGCACCCAGGCACACAGCCCCAGGAGAGGTGGGCACCCCCCGCCCTGTTCCCCAGGGCCCTGGCGCACCTGCAGAGGGCTCCGAGCACATGCTCGTGGAAGGGGCTGTGTTCTGTCCGGATGAGGGCCACCAGCTGCTGGACCATCCCCATGGAGCACAAGGTCCCTGGGGGTGGGGCTCAGAGGGTCAGGGCACCAACCCGTACCACCTGCCTGCCACCCTGGCCTCCTCCTTCCCCTCCAGCCCTCTGCTGCCCCTCATGGGCCCTGGTTGCCCCACCTTTGTGCTCGGGGTGGCCCACCAGCAGGTTCTGCAGCAGGAACGCCGACTTGACCTTGAGCTTCTGCACCTGCTGCTGCATGGCCCGCATCAGCACCGAGAAGCCATCCAAGCGTAGGAACTGCAGCAGCCCTGCCTCCTGCTCCCGGACCAGGCCTGGGAGGGTGGCAAAGAGAGGAAGAGGGGACCTCGGGGTCACCACCTCCACCACCATCATCTCCATCATCTTTTGTTTTCTTTTTAAATAATTTGTTGTTGTTGTTAAGATACACGGCAGAACATACACCCATTCAACAATTTCTACGTGTACAATTCAGTGATATTAACTACATTCTTAGAGTTGTGCAACCATTCTCACCCTCCTTTTCTGAATTGTTCCTCCCCTGTTAACATAAACTCACTGTCCCCTAAGGTTCCTGTCTAATCTCTTGAGTTGCTGTTGTCAATTGCCATTGCCATCGAGTCGTGTCTGACTCATAATGACCCTATAGAGTAGGAGTCTGCCCCACAGGGCTTCCAAGTCTGTAATCTTTATGGAAGCAGACTGCCACATCTTTCTTCTGCAGAGTGGCTGGGGTCTGAACAGCCTACCTTTTGTTTAGCAACCAACTGCTTAACCACGGCGCAACCAGGGCTCCCAAACCCGTTGCTGTTGATTCCAACTCATGATGACCCTACAGGACAAGAGTAGAACTGTCCCAAAGGGTTTCCAAGGCTGTAATCTTTATGGAAGCAGATTGCCAGGTCTTTTCTCCCAGGGAGCAGCTGGTGGGTTTGAACTGCCCACAACTTTCAGTTAGCAGCCCAGCATTTAACCATCGTGCCACCAGGGCTCCTTTGATCTCATATAGATATTTCTTAAAAGAGGGCAATGCTCAAGGCAGACATTCTTTACTAATTAAGCTAAACTATTGTTTGGTTTAAAGAAGGCTTTAGGGGATACTTTTGGCTTAAGGATTAAGATTTAAAGATTTTTTCAGGGCAATAGTCTCGGGACTCATCCAGCCTCCGTGGCTCCAGAAAGTCTGGATTCCGTGAGAATTTGAAACTCTCTTGAGCATTTCCCCCCTTTTGTTTGACATTCTTCTGAAGAAATCACCCTCATCATCTTCATCATCATCTTCTGTGTGACCACGCTTTGCAAGTGCTCTCTTTTTCACTGAGATAGAATTCACATGCCACAAAATTCATCACCTTTAAAGTGTACAACTAAGTGGTTTTTGGTATAATTTACAGAGCTGTGCAACCATCACCACAATCAATTTTAGAAAATTTTCATCACCCTAAAAAGAAACCCTCACTCCCCACTTTCTACCAGTACTAACCAAAAACCAAACCAGTTGCTGTTGAGTTGACTCTGACTCATGGTGACCTCATGTGTGGCAGAGTAGAAAAGTGCTCCATGGAGTTCTCAATGGCTGACTTTTTGGAAGTAGATCACCAGGCCTTTCTTCTGAGCTGCCTCTGAGTGAATTCGAACTGCTGACCTTTAGGTAAGCAGCTGAGTGCTTAACTGTTTGCGCTAGCCAGTACTACTTTTGATGTTGTCGGATGCCGTCAAGTTGATTCCGACTCATAGCAACCCCACATGACAGAGTAGAACTGCCCCATAGGGTTTTCTAAGTTGTACTCTTTACAGGAGCAGACCACCAGGTCTTTTCTCCTAGAGAAAAGAGCCACTGGGTGGGATCAAACCACCCACCTTTCAGTTAGCAGCCAAGTGTTTAACCATTGTGCCACCAGGGCTCCTTTCACTACTACTAATTACTACTGATGTTATCATGTAGTTCTCTGTCCTTTGACTAGCAGAGGGTTTGGTATACTCACTGCTCTGTTCCCAGCCCCTGGCATGGAATCCCAACAAGTAATTGGGGCCCTCTCCCTGACCCTAAAGGAACCCTGGTGCCACAGTGGTTAAGCGCTCAGCTGCTAATTGAAAGGTCGGTGGTTCAAACCCACCAGCCACTCCCTGGGAGAAAACGCCTGTCACTGGGCTCTCGTAAAGATTACAGCCTTGGAAACTCTGTGGGGCAGTACTACTTTGTCACGTGGGGTTGCCGTGACTCATAATTGACTCGATGTCAACAGGTGTTTTCCAGCAGGGCTTCACCCCAATCAGGCCACACACCCCCGCCCACAGCCACCCCAGGGACTCACAGGAAATGGCGAAGAGGGCCTTGACTCGCACTGTGTCGCAGGCATCGCGGTCGAGCAGCCGCAGCAGTTTGCGTAGCGCCCCGAGCCCCAGTACCTGCTCCTGGATGGCTGCCACATTCTGGCTGCACGTGCCGATCAGCTGCGCCGCCCGCCACCGCAGCCCCGCAGTGCCCGCCTCCAGGTACCGGCCCACCAGCAGGTGCATGCCCGACAGCTGGCAGAAGTCTGTGCCACAGAGACAAGAAGAGAGAGGCCAGGGTGAGACTCAAGGGGCAGGGCCTGGCCACCTGCTAGAAGCACCCAGCCAGGTGGCTCAGCAGGGCCGGTGCAGCTCAACCATGTGGGCACTTGAGTGGGGAGGGAACTTCTTCACTGCAGGGCTGCTACTCAAAAGGTTGGAGGTTCAAGTTCAACCAGAGGTGCCTCGGAAGAAAACCCTGGTGATCTGCTTCTGAAAAATCAGCCATTGAAAACACTACGGAAATTACCTTAGGTGAAGGGAAGAACAGCACACACTATAGGGGAAGTCAGCACAACTGGACTAAACCAAAGCTAAGAAGTTTTCTGAATACAACCAAACACTTCGAGGGACAGAGTAGCAGGGGTGGGGATCTGGGGACCATGGATCTGGGGACATCTAGTTCAATTGGTAAAACAAAGTTTATTAAGAAAATGTTCTGCATCTCACTTTGGTAAGTGGTGTCTAGGGTCTTAAAAGCTAGTGAGCAGCCATCTAAGATGCATCAACTAGTCCCAACCCACCTGGAACAAAGGAGAATGAAGAACACCAAAGACACAAGGAAAGTATTAGCCCAAGAGATACAAAGGGCCACACAGATAAGAGACCTCATCAGCCTGAGACTAGAAGAACTAGATGGTGCCCAGCTACCACCAATGACCGCCCTGATGGAGAAAACAAACAGAGTCCCTGATGGAGCAGGAGAAGAGTGGGGTGCTGGGCTCAAATTCTAGTAAAAAGACCAGACTTAATGGTTTAATAGAGACTGGAGGGACCTTGGAAAACATGGCTCCCAGACTCTGTGTTGGCCCAAAACTAAGACCATTCCCAAGGCCAACTCTTCAGGCAAAGATTAGACTGGACTATGGAACATAAAATGATACTCAAGATAAGAATGTGCTTCTTAGCTCAAGTAGATACATGAGAGTAAATGGGCAGCTCCTGTCCAGAGGCAAGATGAGAAGGCAGAGAGGGTCAGGAGCTGGTTGAATGGACATGGGAAATCCAGGGTGGAAAGGATGAGTGTGCTGTCACAGTATAGGGAGAGCAAGTAGGGTCACATAACAATGCAGGTATAAATTTTTGTATGAGACTAACTTGAATTGTTAACTTTCACTTAAAGCACAACAATTAACAGAAGAAAATACTATGGAGCACAGTGCAACTCTGATACACATGGGGTCAGCATGAGTCAGAATCGATTCGGTGGCAATGTGTTTTTTTTGGTTTCCCACACTTATTGTGGTCCAAAACTAAACTGCCACTCCTCCTAAGCACCACATGTTCACTCTGTGCCTGGAGTTGGGCTGATGGCAGTACATGTGGCTGTCTCCACCCATCCTCATGGCCTCGGAGGGCTGATGGTTCCCATGTATAGAGGAGGTAACCTGCAGCTTGAGGGGCTTCAGGGACTTGCCCAAGCTCACAATGCTTCCACGGAGTGATGCCCCAAGACCAAACCAAACCCACTGCCATCGAGTTGATTCTGATTCACAGTGACCCTATACAACAGAGTAGAACTGCCCCATAAGGTTTCCTAGGCTGTGATCTTTAAGGAAGCTGACTGCCGTATCTTTCTCCTGACGAGTGGTTGGTGAGTTTGAACCACCGACCTTTCAATTAGCAGCCAAGTGTTTAACCACTGTGCCACCAGGGCTCCTGTACTGCACTGCTCCACAAATGCGAGTGGTGTCTCATCACTTGTCTGCTCAAAACCCTCAAGTGGCTCCACTGTACCTAGAATGAAACCCATAGCCTTGCCTTGGCCTGGAAGGCCCAGGAGGTTCCAGCTTCATTTCCTCCCACCTTGCCCCTCACTCCCTCCACTCTGCCGTGCTGGCCTTAATGGCGTTCCTTAGCGCCTTTGTGCTGGCTGCTCCCTCTGCCTGGACTGCCTTTGTTTACATACATATACACACACACACATATTTTATTTTTGTTGTTATTGTTGAGAATATACACAGCAAAACATACACCAATTCAATAGTTTCTACAGGTACAACTCAGTGACATTGAATACATTCTTCGAGTTGTGCAACCATTCTCACCCTCTAAATTCACTGCCCTCTAAGCTTCCTATCTCATCTTTCGAGTTGCTGTTGTCAATTTGATCCCATATAGATAGATCTTACAGGAGCATAACGCTCAATCCAGGCAGACATTCTTTACTAGTTAAGCTAAACTATTGTTTGGTTTTAAGAAGGCTTCAGGGGATATTTTTGGTTTAAAGTTTAAAGATAATCCCAGGGCAATAGTTTCAGGGATCCATTAAGCCTCCATGGCTCCAGAGAATCTGGATTCCATGAGAATTTTAAATTCTGTTCTGCATCTTCCCCCTTTTGATCAGGATTACACTCTAGAATCTTTGATCAAAATGTTCAGTAATAGTAGCTGGGTACCATCCAGTTCTTCTGGTCTCTTGGCAAAGGAGGCAGTTGTCCATGGAGGTAATTAGCCTCACATTCCATTTCGTCCTCCTATTCCTGACTCTCCTTCTTCCTCTGTCGCTCCAGGTGAATAGAGACCAATTGTTATACCTTGGATGGCCGCTTGCAAGGTTTTAAGACCCCAGGCCCTAAACAATGAACTAGGAGGTAGAACAGAAACACTAAATACATTAGGCCAATTAACTGGGATGTCCCATGAAACCATGATGCTAACCTCCCATGCCTGGAATTCTTTTTCCAGAGATAATCCCATGGGTCACTCTCTCACTTCAGATCTCAGATTGAATGCTGTCCCTCAGGGAGGCCTTCTCTGACCACCCCACCTAATACAGTCCCCCTCTCATGGTCTCAGAAGCAGCAGTGTATAAGGAGAGAGATCACCAGATTCGAGGTGTATCAGAGAGGTACTGGGCAGGACCTGCCACTGGGTTGGCTGTGTGGGTGAGAGGAGAGCCTTGCTCTGGATGGCGATAGGAATAAGCAAGGTGGGACACGGAAGTCAGAGATAGGCTGGATGGGGGAAAGGCTGGAGGCTGGGAGGCCAGGGAGGCAGCCGGGGGTGGACAGGGCACAGGGCCTGCAGCAGGGCACAGGGCGGAGAGAGGATCAGGGAGCAGAAGGCGCAGGGATTTACCGGCAGCATTGTCCATGTTCTCACACAGGTCAGCCAACAGCTCCAAGGCCCCCTCGCGCTCTTGCTGGTCAGCTGCCAGATCGGCCTCGCCAGCTGCGGGGGGTGTGGGCTGGGACAGCACACGAAGGCAGCTCTTCATCTGCTCCACCTCCTCCCGCTGGCCCCGGAAGGCAGCAGACATGGCTTCCTGCAGCCACTGCCGCCTCTGAGGGCCAGAGCGGCCAGGAGGGTGGGGGGGGGGGAAGGCAAAGGACTATTAACAATGAATGAATGAATGACAGTCATTAATCATAAGAGCTAACATCTCAGCGCTGACAATCCCTTCAGTCAACAAACATCTGCTAAGTGTTTACTACACGACAGATTCTAGACACCAGGGATGCAGCCTTGAGACACAAAGAAAGTGCCTACCCTTGGGGGCTCACATTCTGGCAGAGGAGCAGATGGTAAGCAAAATAGGCAAAATGTGTCCTGTGCAACACAGTGATTGTTGTTGCTGTATGCCATAGTCAATTCCAACTCATAGCAACCCCATGTGTGTTATGGAGTATAGGAGCCCTGGTGGTGCAGTGCTTAAGCACTCAACTGCTAACTGATAGGTCAGCGGTTCTAGCCAACCAGCCACTCCACGGGAGAAAGATGTAGCAGTCTGCTTCTGTAAAGATTATAGCCTTGGAAACGCTATGGGGCAATTCTACTCCGTCCTGTACGGTTGCTGAGTCGGAATCAACTTAACAGCAATGAGTTTGGTGTTACAGAGTAGAAGTGTGCCATAGGGTTTTCTTAGCTGTAATCTGTCTTGAAAGAAGTACAGCCAGAATGCTTCTTAGAAGCGAGGATGGTAAGACTACGTTTCATGTACATTGGACATGCTAGCAGAAGGGACCAGTCCCTGGAAAAGGACATCATGCTTGATAAAGTAGAGAGTCAGTGAAAAACAAGACCCTCAATGTGGTGGATTGACACAGTGGCTGCAACGATTCAAACACAGCAACGATTGTGAGGATGGCACAGGACCAGGCAGCATTTCATTCTTTTGTACACAGGGTTGTTATGAGTCAGAATCAATTCTGTAACACCTAATAACAACAATCTTTACGGAAGCAGATCGCCAGGCCTTTCTTCCATGGAGCCACTGGGGAGGTTCGAACCACCAACCTCTCAGCAGCCAAGCACTTAAGTGCTTAACCACTGTGCCATCAGGCCTCCAGAACACAGTGATAGAATGGGGGGAAAACTGAGCAGGGAAGGGAGACTGGGAGTGCTGGGTAGCGTGAGTTGCAGAATTAAATGGAGTGGTCAGCAGAGACCTCCCTAGCTGACAAGGTGACATGTGAGTAAAGAAGGAAGGGGGAGAGAGAGCCATGTAGATATCTGGGAGGACGTTTCAGGTAAAGGGAAGAGCAAGGAGGCCATGTTGCTGCAGCACTGTGAGCCAGGGGGAGGGAGACAGAAGGGGATGGGGGAGACAGGTAATGGGGTACAGATCCCAGAGAGTCTTCAGGACCATTGTGAGGCCTTGGACTTCACTGAGAGTGAGATGGGGGAGCCACTTCGGGTTCTAGGTGGCATAGTGCCAGGATCTGACTTAGGTCTTTTTTTGTTTATTTGTTTTTAATAATATTTTGGGTTTTTGGTGATGGTTTACACTACAGTTTAGGTTCCCATTCAACAATTTCTATACAAATCGTTCAGTCACACTGGTTACGTTCTTCACAATGTGTGAACACTCTCATTATGTCCATTCTGGTTGTTTACCTGCCCCCTTACCTTCTCATTTTTGTCTTAAAGTCATTGTTGACTGTTTGGACCATGGTACACACAGGGGATATTCTTTACTTTGTAAGCCATACGTTATTTAGCTATAAGGAGGCCTCAGGGGCTAGTTTCAGTTCAAGGTTTAAAGAGTATCTCACCCAATAGTCTTGGGGAGTCCTCCAGTCTCAGCCAGTCCAGTAAGTGTGTGTGTGTGTGAGTGTGTATGTGTGTTTTTAGGAAATTGAGGTTCTGTTCCACATTCTTCTCCCATTCTATCAGGGTCCATCTTTTGTGGCCCTGATCAGAATAGTTGGTAGTGGTAGTTGGGCACCATCTAGTTCTTCTGGTCTCAGGGTAGGTTTGACTTAGGTTTTTAATAGGATTCCTCTGGCCACTGCTGAGAGGAGACTGAGGCATGGGAAGGGCAGAAGCAGGGAGACCTGTTAGAAGGCTACCGTAGCATGCTAGGTAAGAAATAAGGTGGTGTGGACTAGGGTGGGAAAAAGGGTCAGATCCTGGACTTGCTTTGAAAGGAGAGTCAATACCATTTACTGACAGATTGAGGTGTGAGAGACAGAGAGGAGTTAAGGATAACTCCAAGGTTTTTGTCCTGAGCAACTAGGAGATGGGGAAAATGGCAGAAGAAGCAGATCTGAAGGGGGAAAAGGAGAGATTAGGAGCTCATTTCTGAACGAGTTACATAAGAGGTGTCTAGGTGCAATGGTTAAGTGCTTCGCTGCTAACTGAGAGGTTTGCAGTTTGAACCCACCCAGCGGCTCCACAGGAGAAAGACCTGGCAATTTGCTTCTGCAAAGATTACAGACTAGAAAACACTATTGGGCAGTTCTACTCTGTCACATGGCGTTGCTATGAGTCAGAATTGACTCAATGGCAGCAAAAAACAATAAGTATACATGCAAAGTGAAACACTTAGTAGGTGGCTTGAAGCTTAGGGATGAAGTCCAGCCAAGATCAGGGTTTCTCTACCTCAGCTTTATTAATACTTTGAGCTACATAATTCTTTGTGGTAGGACAGTCCTGTGCATTGCAGGATGCTGAGCAGCATTCCTGGCCTCTACCCACTAGATGCCAGCAGCACCCTCTCCCCCAGTTGTGATGACCAAAATGTTTCACATATTGTCAAGTGTCCCCTGGGAGAGGGCAAAACTGCCCCTGGTGGAGAACCACTGGTCTAGAGATATAAATTTGAGAATCATCAGGGTATAGCTGGTTTTGAAAGCCTTGAAAGAACATGAGATCACAATGGAAATGAGTGTAGGTAAGAGAAGAAACCGAGGGTCTTAAAAGCATGCAAGCGACCATCTAAGATATAGTCTCTACTCATCTGGGGCAAAAGAGAAAGAAGCAAACCAAAGACTCAAAGAAGAAACTAGTCCACAGGAATAATAGTCTACAAAAACCATGACCTTATCTACCCTGAGACCAGAAGAACTAGATGGTGCCCAACTACCACTACCGACTGTTCTGATCAGGGCCACAATAGATGGATCCTGATAGAATGTGAGAAAAATGTGGAACAGAACCTCAAATTCCTAAAAAACAAACAAACAAACTTACTGGATGGCTTGAGACTGGAGAACTCCCCAAGACTATTGCCCTGAGATACTCTTCAAACCTTGAACCAAAACTAGTCCCTGAGGCCACCTTGTAGCTAAATAACAGATTAGCTCACAAAATAAAGAATATCCCGTGTGTACCATGGTCCTTTAAAAAAATCATCTATATGAGACCAAACAGTCAACAGTGACTTTAAGACAAAAATGTGAAGGTAAGGGGGCAGGAAAGCTAGATTAATGGAAATGGAAGAACCAGAATGGAAATAATGAGAATGTTCACACATTGTAAAGAATGTAACCAATGTGACTGAATAATTTGTGTAGAAATTGTTGAATGGAAACCTAAACTGCTGTGTCAACCTTCATCAAAAACACAGTAAAATATTTAAAAAAGAAGAGACCACAGGACCAAGTCCTGGTGCACGCCATCATTAAGACGCTGGGGAACGAGGATAAGCCAACAAAGCAGACACAGAAGGAGGATGAAAACCAGGATGTTATGCTGCCCTAGAAGTCAAACAAAGAAAGAGACTCAAGGATAAGCGAGGGACCAAATATTGCTGTTAGTTCAAGTAATAGGAAGGCTAAAAACTGACTGGAGTCCCTGGGTGGTGCAAACGGTTAAGCACTTGACTACCAGTCTAAAGGTTGGCAGTTTGACACGCCTGGTGATCTGCTGCTGAAAGGTCACAGCATTGAAAAGCCCTATGGAGCAGTTCTACTCTGCAAACATGGGGTCTCCACAAGTCGGTGTCAACTTGACAGCAACTAACAATAATAAGAACTGACCACTGGAATCTTTTGCCAGGCCCTATTTTAAGTACTCATATGACGGCTCTGTAGTCAAACTCCTGGATAAATTTGGGCAGGTCACTTAATCTTTCTGTGCCTGTATCTGTATCTATAAATGTTAAATGATATCCTACATGTAAGGAGCCCCAGTGGCACAGTGGTTAAGCACTCGGCTGCTAATGGAAAGGTCAGCAGTTTGAACCCAGCAGCCACTCCGAGGGAGAAAGATGTGGCAGTCCGCTTCTGTAAAGATTTACAGCCTTGGAAACCCTATAGGACAGTTCTACTCTGTCCTATAGGGTCATTATGAGTTGGAATACTCTCAAAAGCAATGGGTATATGTAAATAGTTTAGCACAATGTTCAGTACACAGTAATATCTCATGAAATATTATAATAAATACTGCTATTAAGCTTCACAAGGAGCCCTGGTGGTGCAATGGTTAAGCGCTTGACTGCTAACCAAAAGGTCAGCAGTATGAACCCACCCAGCGGTTCCTCAGGAGAAAGAGCTGGCAATCTGCTCCCATAAAGACTACAGCCTAGAAAATCCTATGCGGCAGTTCTACTCCATTGCACAGGATCGAAGTGAGTCAAAAATTGACTTGGCGGCACCTAACAACATTAAGCTTCACAACAACCCTATGAGGTTAAGTTTTATTGTTATCCTCACTTCACAGATGAGAAAACTGAGGCTCAGAAGGATTGTGACTTGCCCAAGGTCATATAGCTAGCAATCGGCAAAGGCTGAAGTTGAACCTCAGCAGTCTGTCTCTTGAGCCTGTGCTCTTAGTGAGCGCACCCTGCTGTCTTCAGGGTCCCTGTGTGTGTTCCCGGCACTGTGTGGAGCCCCAGTAAACTGGAACCTTAGAACTACCCTATGAAGTAATCTTATAATTTCTATTACTATCATCATCAATTTAAAAATGAGGAACTTGAGGCTCAGAACAATTAAGTGTGCTGAAGGTCACACAGCTAGGCAATGTTGAATCCAGGTCTGCCTGGCTCCAGAGAATCCTTGCTTTTTACTTTTTACCATCACGCTATTCTGCACCCTCGCAGCAGTGTCTGTCCCTCAACCCCTGACACTAATGAAATCTGATCTTCGGCCTGCAAAAAACTCCGTTAACACAACTATAGCCTACCATGCCTTCACACCTGGACTCCAGCCCCTCACCCAGGAAGACCCCAATTTCTAGCTCCCGCAAACCATACTTTCCAAGACACCCCTGTCCCCAGCCCCTTCACCCCAGCTTCTAGGGCCCCCATCTTTACCTCCTCGCTCATAGGTTCTGGAGGGGAGTCTGGCTCCTGAGAGCCTGCCGTGATGGCCATCTGCAGCAGACCCTGGAGGTTGCGCGGGGGCGGAGGATTGCCAGAGGCCGGAGGACTGCCTGAGGTCCCCGCCGAGGAGCCTCCGGCCCCTGTAGAGCAACCCTGGGAGGCCGAGGGCAGCGCCAGGGGGAGACGGTTGCCCCCCGAGCGTTGGTCTGCCATGGGCCGCTTGTGAAGAGGAAGGGAAGAAAGTGTTGGGGAAGGAGTGTCACCGCTGAGGCAGCTCTGGCGTCCTGACCGGTCGACTCCTGGGACGTCTGCTGATAAGGCGGAGTTTTAGGGGAGCTCGGTGCCTCCTCGTGATCCCAAACCACTCTGCCCAAACGCCCCTTAAACATAGCCCCATTTTCTTCCTTTCTACCAACAGGACCCTTGCCCAAAGCCATAAGCCCCTCCTATCTCCCTAGCAACACGCCTCTCCCACCCTCCCTGGCAACAAGCCCCTTGCCCCATCTCCACTGCTTTCATTCCCGTCTCTTAGCAACCCCGCTGCCTCGCCTCCATAGCATCAAGCCCTCTCTCTGGTCTCCTTAACGACAAGTCTCCTCCTCCATCTCCAAATTGGGGAGATGGAGCGGGACAGATCTCACCTCCCCGGGCTTCGAGTCGCCGCCACTGCTAAAGTCAGAGTGGCCCGCACCTGTCACGGCTGGGCGCCGCCATCTTGGCCGGAAATACACAGGTCTCACACGGAAGTGCCCCGCGCCCCCACCCAACTTCGGGGCCGTAGGCCCTAAGCCCTACCCACCTGACCGGATATGTGCTCTGCCAAGGCCCCTCCCGGCAAGGCCCCGCTCCGCCGTAGGCCCCGCCACCAGGCGAGGATCACGCCCGCTTTAAATAGGTTACGTCTGCGTTCTAAGCCCCGCCCATCCCGGCACAAGCCCCTCCCCTTAGCGAGCCCCGCCTCCTCATCCTAATTGCAAGTTCTACCGCTGCTGGGGCGTAAGTCCCACCCCTCCCGCGTCGCCCCCTATCTGGACTGCACCTTGCCTACGCCCGTGTCCCCACCCTGGTTTAAACTCTGCCCCTTCCTCTCTGCCTGGCCCCGCAGCCATTTCAGGCCCCGCCCCTGTTCTAGGTCTTTCGGCCTTCTCCCCGTATTAGGCCCCCGCTTCTTCCCTAGCCCCGCCTCCTACTTGCGCGTCGGCCGCTCCCGTTAGGCCCCGCCGTCTTTCCAGGCCACCTCCGAAGTCCTGTTGTTTCCCCACCTGGGCCCTGCACACAATTTTTTCCGGAACTCTAGGTATTCACAGCCTCACCTGACATCCCACACCCAATATCTAAACCTATGCAACCTTAGATCTATGCCAGCACCTCTTTGGGCCTCAGTTTCCCCATTTGTCAAATGGAGCTGCCTTACTACTGGCTGTCGACCTCTTATCGCCCAGCCTTTCCCTCATGGATTCTTCCCTGGGTCCTGCCAAGTCCAGGAGAGGGAATACTTGACGCCTGGAACCAGCAAGCAAATTGCCCAAGAGCCTCAGTCAAGACTCAAGAGAACCAAAAACCACAAAAGCAAACCTGTTGCCATCGAGTTGATTGCAACTCATGGGGACCCCATCTGTGTCAGAGTAGAACTGTGCTCCGTAGAGTTTTCAATGGCTGATTTTCCAGGAACAAATCACCATGCCTTTCTTGCAAGGTAGCTCTGGGTGGATTCCAACCGCCAAACTTTTGGTTAATAGCCCAGTGCTAACCGTTTGCACCACCCAGGTACTCCTTCAGAGAACCAAGGGAGTGAAGTTGTTTGGGGCGTCCGAGGCCTCTGTGCACCAGTGTACTGTGAGTGTAGTGGTGGGGCCTGGTCTGCGGAAGGGTTTGGTCAGAGCTGGGCTTAAAGAAATCCCAGTCCTGGTCCTTGAGAGGAGAGCTGTCCCTGCTAGGAGAAGGTTGAACTCAACATCAGTGGGTCTGACCGTCACAAATGTCTTGAGCATTGGGTTGCCATGTGCCAGGGGAAGGGTGTATGGGGCAATATTTGGGGGCAAAGATGGGGGCACCGTGGAAAATTGTTGTCTGACAGGTGCCTGGGTGGAGGCCCATGCATATCCCATCTGTATTAGTTTCCTGTTGCTGCTGTAACAAATTAACACAAGCTTGTTGTTGTGTGCTATTGAGATGATTCCAACTCATAGTGGCCCTATATGACACTGTAGAACTGCCCCATAGGGTTTTCTAGGCTGTGGTTACGTGCTCAGCTGCTAACCTGGCTGCTAACTGAAAGGTTGGTGGTTCGAACCCACCAGCCACTCCATGGGAGAAAGACATGGCAGTCTGCTTCCGTAAAGATTTCAGCCTTGGAAACTCTATGGGTTGGTTCCACTCTGTCCTACACAGTCGCTATGAGTTGGAATCGACTCAACATCAATAGGTTTTTGGTAATCTTTATGAGGGCAGACTGCCACATCTTTCTTTCATGGAGCAGCTAGTGGGTTCTAACTGCCAACTCTTTGGTTAGTAGCCAAGAGCTTAGCCATTGCGTCACCAGGGCTCCTTATCACAAGCTTAGTGGTTTAGAACAACATCCATTACTGGTACATAGATACAATGGAATATTACTCAGCCATAAAGAGAAATGAAGTCTTGATACATACTAAATGTAAATGAACCTCAAAAATATTACGCTGAGCAAAATAAGTCAATCACAAAAGGACAGATATTGTATGATCTCATTTATATGAAATGTCTAGAATAGGCAAATGCATGGAGACCAAAGTTTTATTAGTGGTTACCAGAGGCAGGAGAGGGGAAGCTGGAGTCTTTGTTTAGGAAGCAGTGGGTTTCTGTTTATGGTGATGGAAAATTTGGCAACAATTATTGGTGATGGTTGCACAACATGATTAATGTAATTGGTATCGCTAAATTGTACACATGAAAAATACTGAAGTGGCAAATGTTGTGTTATATACATATACAAGAGTAAAACAAAAACAAAAAACACATTTATTATCTTACGGTTCTGGAGGTCATAATTAAATTAAGACGTCACCAGGATTTCATTCCTTCTGGAGACTTTAGGGAGAGCCTTCCTTGCCTTTTCCAGCTTCTAGAGGCCACTTGTGTTCCTTCACTCATGGCCCCCTCCTCCATCTTCAAAGCTCATCACTCTGACCTCTTCTTCTGTCCTCCCATCTCTTTCTCTGACTCTCGTGCCTCCCTCTTTCCCTTATAAGGACACTTGTGATTACATTGGGCCACATGGATAATCTCTGCATCTCAAAATCCTTAACTTAATCACATATGCAAAATCCCTTTTGCCATGTTAGGTAACATATTCACGGGTTCTGGGGATTAAGACATGTACATCTTTGGGAGGGCCATGATTCAACCTACCATACCTATATACAGGTGTGTGTGTGTATATCTGTGTAAAATACTGGTACTGTTAAATACTGCCTTTTTAAATACTTTTTTTTTTTTACTCCAAATACCAACTGGTAAAGGTATTTAAAAAAAAAAATCAGTTGCCATTGAGTTGATTCCACCTCATGGCAACCCCATGTGTGTCAGGGTAGGACTGTGCTCCTTAGGGTTTTCAGTGGCTATTCTTTCAGAAACAGATCACCAGGCCTTTCTTCTGAAGCACCACTGGGTAGCCTCAAACCTCCAAACTTTTGGTTAACAGCCAAGCACATTAACCTGTTGCATGACCCAGAGACTTTGCCTAATACCTTTGAGTACCTAATATAGAAGAATGGTGAATTACGTGATAATCTGATGGTGGCTTGTGGCTTACCCATGGACTGAGCACAGGTCTGTGGATGTCCTATAGTAGGGACATACACATATGGGGGCCCAAATGAAGATCTAAGGGGACCCATCGTCATCAAGTCAGCTTCAACTCATGGTGCCCCCATGTGTTACAGAGTAGAACTGAGTTCCATAGGATTTTCTTGGCTGTCATTTTTACAGAAGTAGATCACCAGGCCTTTCTTTCATGGCACCACTGGGTAGGTTCAAACTGCCAACTTTTCAGTTGTCAAGTAGCCAAGAGAAAACTGTGCCACCCAGGGACCTTGGTGGGCACAGGAAATATATATAAATCTGAAGAATACCAGGGGACCACAGAGGATTCTGGAAGTTTCTCTGGGGCATTGAGAACCTTGAATGGAGGTATGGAACCAAGATGGTATCCAAGGATGCACTGTGGTCTGTGGGTGGATCTGGGGCCCTGATGGGAACCAAGTCCAAGGAGACCCAGGTGGGTGCCTTCGGGGGCCTGGGGAAACAAGATGAATCTTGGGTCAGTAATTTCCCAAATTCTTTCTCTCTGTCTCTGCTTCTGTTTCTCTCGCTTCTTTTTCTGCCTTCTTGTCTCTGTCCTTCCACGTGTCCATATCTTCCCTGGTCCTCTTGCGGTCCCCCAGCCTTCCTTTTTTTTTTAACTTTAGTTTTGGTGAAAATATACACAGCAGAACATACACTCATTCTTCAGTTTCAACATGTATGATTCAACAACATAGGTTACATTCCTCACATTGTGTCACCATTCTCACTATCTCTACCCATATTGTTTTTACCACAATTGACTTAGACTCACTACCGCCTAAACGTTTCATCTATGCTTCAGAGTTACTATTGACAGTTGGATCTCATATAGTTAAGTCTTTAAAAGAGCGCAATGCGCATGGCAAACATTCTTTACTAGTTTAGCTAAACAGTTGTTTAGTTTAAAGATTACTTCAAGGCATATTTTCAGCTCATGGTTTGAAGATTTTCTCAGAGCGATAGATCCAGGGGCCCCTCCAGTTTCAATAGGTCCAGTAAGACTGGATTCTGTAAGAGTTTGAAGCTCTGTTCCACATTTTCCCCCTTTTTAATCAGAGTTCATCTACTGATTCATTGATCAAAACATTCAGTAGTATAGCCGGTCTGCCCCTCTCCCTGTCAGTTGCTCTCCATAGCTCTCTTTCTCTCCATCTCTCTGTCTCTCTTGGACCATTTTCCTCATCTCTCCCCCTACCTGTCTCTCTGTTTTCCTTTCTCCCTCATTGTTTCTTCCCCTCTGTCGCTCCTACTTTTCTCCCTGTTCTCCTTCCTTCTGTCCCCATCTCCCTGCTTTGTTTCATCTTTCTCTTCTCTTTTTCTATTTTTCTCCATCTCACTCCCCATCTGTCTCTCTATGTCTCTATTTCTGACTTGACTTTTCCCCCTCTTATTTTCTCTAGGTCTCTCCCCATCTCTGTCTGTTTATTCTCTTCATCTCTCTCCCCATCTGTCTCTCCATTATCTCTGACTTGTCCACTTCTGTTCCCTATCTCTGCTTTTCTACCACTCTCTCCCCATTTCTCTGTCTCTGTTTTTCTCTTGCTTCTCCTTCCTTCTGTGCCCATCTCTGCCTCTGTATCAGGGTTCCTCCATCTGGCTTTCTTGCCTCTCTCTACCCTGTCTCTGGTTGTCTCCATCTCTCTCCCCATCTCTGTCTCTCTATGTCTCTGTTTCTCCCCCCCCCTTCTTTTCTCTAGGTCTCTTCTCATCTCTCTCTCTCTTTTCTCTTCGTCTCTTGCCCCATCTCTTCATATCCTTGCTTCTCCTTCCTTCGTTCTCTTCTGCCTCTGCCCGTTTCTGCCTCTGTCTCAGGGTTCCTCCATCTAGTTCTCTTGCCTCGACCCTGCCTCTGGCTGTCCCCATTTCTCATCATCTCTGTCTCCATGTCCCCCCTCCCCATGTCAGTCTCCACCTCTCTTTGTGTGTCTCGGTCTCTGCCCCATCTGTCTCCTTCGTA